CCCCTGTGTGTTGCGGGATTGCCTACTGCACGCGCCACAGGGGCCCCTGCCGGATAGACTGTACTGCTAAACCCCTGTGTGTTGCGGGATTGCCTCCCCTTGCAACACAGGGGCCCCTGTTAGGTGGGCTGTCAATATCAAACCCGGTAGCGTTGCCATTGAGGGCTGCCTGCCACACTCGGCTGCGGGGTGCCTCGTCGGGTCAGCAGTCCTATTGCATACGGCTGTGCTAAAATTGCTGTCGGAGCCCTCCATAATAGCTATTTAATTCGACAACATATTAGCGCTTTTTTAAAACCTTTTTAAAGCTTGCAATTGGGGTTGTTATGTGACCCTGCGTGTGCTAACCTATGACACGGGCTAAAATTGTCTAATAAACTCATGAACAATATGAAAAGCACTATCACACAGCCACCGGTCTCTCCAAAACATGGACGCAGGCCCATCTTTAAAAGGGTGACGTTTTAAGCTCATCACTCCATGTTATGATAATGCTAGTCCAATTTGTCCCTCCAAAAAAAAGTAACACATAGGATGTTGTAAACGTGTGCTGTGCTTGAAAACTTAATATTCCCTGGTACAAAAATTGTCCCTATTTACATTAAGCGGGTCGAGCAGTAAACGGATGCCAATGCGTTTTTATCGCGACACTTACTTGGTGTAAGACCTCGCCGACACCTCCTGGGCGCGGGCTCCGCTGGACAGCAGCAGCAGCAGGTGCATCAGCAGGTGCCCGGCGAGCCCGAGCAGGGCGCCGGCGTGGAGTGCCGAGCAGGGTGCCATCCCGGTCGTGTCGCGGCGGCTGTCGGCGGCGCCACCCACTCGCTCAGCTACTCCGAGACCGTCGCGACCGTCGCCCCTTCTGGCGCCAAACGCCTTTGGCGAGCAGAGCTCCCGCAGAGCCGGTGTGTCTGGACCGGCTGGCGCTGCCGCGCTGCCGCCCCGGCGTGCCGTCTGCCTGCCCGTCCGCCCGCCGGCCGCCGGCCCGCCCAGCCTGTGGCGCTGGCGCACGCTGGCGCTATCGCACTCGGGCCGGGCAAGGCGCGGGACACGGCTACCCGGTACCCGAGCCCGGCGCCGCCCGACCGGAGCTCGGACGAGTACGTCAATCGGTGGTAAGTCCAAGTCCCTGCTACGCTAAACATCCACCAGCCCGAGGCGTTGGGCACTGAGAACCAACAGCAAAACCTCCGCAGAACCCCACCCTCTTCGGATCGATTACAGGTTAACGACAGCACACTCGTTCTCACAGCAGTCGGCGTGGTTGGCCGAGCCCCCGGTCAAGGAGACACGACCAATAAATACATAATAAAAACGATACTGTAATTGAAACTATCACTATCGCTCAGAAATTGCGCTGCGGCTGGAGACAAAAACTGTCAGCTGTCAGGTAGGAACTCTCCATCCAGTTGTGAAAGTAGGATTATTAATACTGAGATGGCACAGCGAATGGTTTCGGCACACACCCACACCACTTTCCTCAACGTCGTACTGCGTTTTGGGGCGGAATGCCCTATCCCCACACTGTAAACCCAACAGCGTACATAATACTCTTCCTTGTGTGTACTTGAAAGCACTCACGAAGAAGTGTGTGCCACGCATGTACACACTTCCAAGTGTGTTCCACGCATGTACACACTTCCAAGTGTGTGCCACGCATGTACATACTTCCTATTGTGTAGCATGCCAGGCACACACTTCCTTGTGTGTGCTTTAAAGTACAACCAAGTATGAGTGTACTATTACACAGTTGGGTTTACAGTGCAAAGCCATCCATTCAATAAATGATGCACCCATTCATTCGTCTGCGTTTGCCGCAGACCGCAGCCAACTAACCACAATTCGAAAATACTCCGCGTCACAGGGTTCGTGCGCGAGTCTCTGCCGATACCCCATGCCCTTGAATGCGGTGGGTATAGCTGTTCTCGGCCCGTGCTTGTAACCCAACCTCTGACCTGAGTGCAACAAGACCTCCCTGCCTTCCCGTTCTCCCCTCGCCCGGAGATATCCCTCACCGTTTCACAGAAGCGGCACGTTCAAAATGGAAGCATGATTTAATCAACTTATCACATACCAAACCTAAAAATATAAGTGACATGGTCTCTGAGTAATTACAATGATGAATAATAACAGAAAATAATAAAACATGGGAAAGTGCGACGAAAACATAATACAGTACAGTACTCAGTTTTTTTAGGGTTTTATAAACCCTTACATTAACTATGCTCATTCAGTCTACCTGTTGGAGTGTCTCTAAGATTTTTTCATGGCAACATTTAAGGGAAAATTCATATTCCTTTCCTGATCTGGAGTGACAGACTCCAAAAAAAAAATCTCAAACTACCTACTACCCTTCACCTTCGGTGCAACCCGTCTATAACACAGACGTTTTGAGCAACAAGTCCAACACTTTAACAACTGTCATTGTATACTTCTGGGTTCCCAGATGACATCTTCAATTTCTTCCGGCCTTTTGATTCCACTCCAGTGCCAGCAGGATGTCTGGAGGAAAACGAAAAGAAATTCGTGAGCTTAGGCCGTGAGCTATGGCAGGTGACAGGGTGATAGCTCGCCCCTTTCGCCTGATTCGACCCACCATTCTGTTCATAGCTTGCCATTAGTCGTAGGCTCGCTTTTGTACTCGAAGAACACGTTGTAGTTGGCGCTGTACTCGCAGGGCAGGGAGAAGGAGACACTCTTGGCGGCCAGCAGGGTGGCGCCGATGGCGCCACTGCTGGTGAGGCTCATGAGCGTCAAGTTCGGGACCACGTCTCCCTTCCGGCAGCCCCGGCGAAGCTGCGCGACGAACGACTCGTGCAGCAGGTCCCAGCTCTTCCACACCGAGCCCACGCACACCACGGGCACGCCGCCGGGCGCCCGCACCAGGTCAGCGTGGACAGAGGGCACCAGGGCCTGGATGTACTCGGCCAGCACGCGGCCGGCCTCGCTGAACAGCCAGAGGCACAGCTCGTCGCCTGCGTGCGCGGCGTCCGCTATCCGTTTGCACAAGCCGGCGAAGTAGGATTTGGAAAACTTGTCGTACACATGGTTGAGGAGATTGAACCTGAGGGCATGGCAGAGTTAAACGATGTGCGAGGTAGGCGCAAAGGATCAGCAGCAGACAGAGATCCTGACCTGTTGTCGACGTCGAAGTGCTCCTGGATTAGCCTCCACAGCGTATCGGAGTTGTAGGGGAACGAGCTGAAGTTGTCCTGTTCGTGGAACATGCCACACACCGCCTTGTGGGCGATCCAGAAGGCTAAAAATATAAACGATCGCGAACCATACGACATGAGCGACAGCTCTCTAGGGGCCTCGGCTCGAGGTTCTCTAGAGGGAGAGGAGGGGTCGAGAAGGGGGAGGGTACTCACCGCTACCCTCGTCTCCGATCATGTGGCCCCAACCCCCGCAGCGCGCCTGTGTGCCGTCCGGGTTGAGGAGCAGCGCGTTGGAGCCCGTCCCGGAAATGAGGACGATGCCGCCTGTGACAAAGTTGAAACATTTTATCGTCTCCACCTGCTTACCTTTTCCTCGAGTTTTATTCGCGCAAACAAATCGTGCAGTGTGTCGAGCAGCATTAGGTCAGTCAGGACAGACGCTCCAGGTCGCCGACAGGTCGCCGACCCGCCCGCAGCACCGAGCACCACTCCCTGTTCACCCCCGCCCCGCCTCGCCCCGCCTCGCCCCGCCCCGCCCCGAGCAGTGTGGGTTCCCTTCCCTACTCTCGACTGTCGCGGCACCAGCAGCACCAGCCACGGCGGGCTGCAGCTGGGCCCCATGTGTGCAAGCCTGGCGAGGACGCCAAACTGTTTGGCACATTCCGCTCCGGTGAGGCCCCGTCCCGTCAGTGTGAGGAGGTGGGGACCTGAACAGGGACCCTGCCCCGCGCGGCGCCGGCAGCCGCCACACATTTCCGGCCGCATATTGCGTATCTGGTGGCACTGTTAGTTCCCTACGAAGCCTGCTCAATATGCTGTCCAGCAGGTGGCTGATTGGCATCCCCCACTGTATCGCACTCTGGCGGCGCGTCCGGCGCCGTGGCCAGCGACATAGGCAAACCCGTCCGGTGTGCGGAGCGTGCCTTACAACTTCCACTACACCTTTGGGGTGAATTAGAGCGGACGCCGCAGCTACTCCCTCTTCCCAATGCGCCATGGCCGCTGCAGCCCAAGAGGGTGTGCAATCCCGCAACAATGCGACGTCTGCTCTGATACACCCACCCCGGTACAACTACCACAGCCACTTGGCAGACGAAGAAGCAATTTCTTCAGAACATTGAGCAGCAATCCTGTGCAATTTACAAAAGGGCTGTTACCTCTTCACTCCCGCACGCCCGCTCCCGCTGCAGCAAGCGAAGGAGGCCTCCTTCCTGGTCGTTAGTGATCGTCCAGAAAGTACGTCCGCTTTCCTCAAGAGTAAATGTAAGTGACGGAAGTTCGGCGCCTGTGAGACTCGTGGTAGGCCGCCCCGCAATACACGCATGCAGTGCAATCAAGATGTTGCCTACCTACCAGGCGCTACGAGAGCTCGCAGTTCCGTGACGGCGAGCGACGGACGTACTTTCTGGGCGGCTCTCGAACACATACTCACCTCCCTCGTTGGCGGACGCGATTGCGCCCAGGGTGTCGCTGCAGACGACGTACTTGCTGCTGAGCGTGGGGAAGCGCCTCTCCAGGCCCTCCTGCAGGAGGCGGTTGGTCTTGTCCTCCTCGCAGCCGCTCAGGCTGAGCCCCAGGGCGGCCAGCGGCGTGCCCAGGTCCAGGCCGATGCGCGCCTTGGCGTCGTTCACCATGTTGGCGATGCGGTCCTGGCACTCCTCCATCCCGATGCCCTGCACACGCAACGCACGCGTTCATCTCCCGGCCACCACTTGCGGGACTTCGCTGCATACATGACACTGTCGGAGACACTCACCCAGTGGTTGGTGTTCGGGCCGCTCAGCTCGGTCAGCTTCTTGCCCTTGGCGTCGAACAGCGCGCAGCTGGAGTGGGTGGCACCCCTGCAACAGTAAGGCGAAGGGCTTCGTTTAATTTGACACCGAAAGGGGGGGGAGGGAGCGGTCCACAGAAGTCAAAGCTGTCTGTCTGGCCGACCCCACCCCACACTTTTTCGCTCGACTTTTACGTTGAGGAATTTCTCCAAACTGCGCAGCGTGTTGGACTCTGTAAAAAATCTTTTTCTGAACCGACGTTCCCGGCCAAATTCTTCAAACAAAGAGCGTTGTTTTGAAAGGGCAAATTAGAATTTTTGTATTAGTGTGAAAACTTTTGCCCTGATGATCCTTTAGTTTGGGAAAAGTCTGAACATCAACCAAAATATAGCAACATCAGTATCTAAAACGTCAAGCTAAAACTCTTTACGTTTCAAAACTTTGATATTTTTGGCAAATTTTTGTTATAAACAACGTCCTTCTTTTGAAAAATTGATCCATAATCTTCGTTACAGCAGAACAAGCCAAATTTTTACGGTGTGGCGACGCGATCAGGTTGACAAAAGGTAGCGATCCTGAATCCACAACCGGTCCAGCTACGCCGCGGCCACTGTTGCCCGTCTCTGCTCGGGAGAGGACGGCCATCATTTTGGACCTCGCAAATAGTGTGAAACTTCAAACATTCAATATTCCTCATCGTGGTTGCTCTATCAGAACCTTCAACCCATCCATCCTCTGCGTAGCCAAAAACATTTTAGTGGGAACCGCTTAAAAAACAAACCACGCGAGTTTGTTTACGCGCCCTTGCCCTAATAACAACGATATGCATGAAATTCGTTTTGGTCAGCTTGTCCATGGCGAGATAAGATAGAGCCGGTCAATGGATGTAGGCTGCCGCGGCCTGCGGCGCCCCACCGACCTCATGACCCTTGTGCTGTGCTGCAGTCCTTGACCAGGCCCAATATTTCAGCCGCATTAGGAGGAACTCAGTTTTTACTCTCTTCCTTTTGCCCAATTTGTCTATCTTCCCTGCTGTGGCAGGGGGGTTTGATAATAACGCGACTCTTGTCGAGTTTTCAGGCAAATCCGATAAGGGAATGCCAACGACACCGTAGAGTAGCCTAGGCCTAGAGCAGCCTATCTCGCGCGTACCTATCGCCTTGAAACACACAGAGGTACTCATACCGCTGAGTGATGGCTCTGTCGTAGGGCAAACGATACCCTTGACTTTGGCCCTTGAAACGTCGGTTCCGATTCAAAAAACTAAATCAAAAATCTCATGGTCAAGCTCATGAACGATAAGCTGAGATAGGGAGACTTCTTGATGACACTTGGCGCCATTTTTTTTTCTTTTAAATGAGAATTTTTGGGCTGCTTGGGTGTTTTATTATTTGACCTGTTAGAAAACGTAATGACAAAATTAAAATAAGGCTTCAATGTCGGGTAGGTAAGACACCGTCCAAAGAGTAGTCTGCGCATGTAATCAGTTACACGTGACAAAACTGTCGACACCCGTCCACCGACTGTCTCTCTCTCGTCGCACGGGGAGCGTTCGACGTTAACAAAACGAGTTCAAAAACTGAAGACTGAGAGCCAGTTGCGATGTCTTCATCCCGACACTTGAGTGCGTTCACCTGGTGCGAGCACGCAATCATCATCTTGCCTTTACCTCCGCCTCCGGCGACTCGTGATTCGAAAATTGCTCCGAAGAGTTTAGTCTCTCATTTTGAACGCGCAATGAACCCGAACCCTGCGCTTTTTGACCAATTTCTCGGCTTGATCATTAACGAAAGGGCCCGCCTTGATCGTCTATTGCCTCCTGCGGCCCCACTACGCAGTAGTTGGCCGGTCTAAACCCTCGAGATGTCTGTCTGCGCGCCGGGCTGGCGAGCCGCACGTGGAGCGTGCTAGTTGCCACGCTACTCGACTCGCTTTCTCTCTCGCTCCTCCCTACCGGTCACTCTCACTCTCACTCTCTCGCACGTGCCGCGGTGGGCGGTGCAGTAGAGTTGGGAGACACCCCGGGGGCCCCAGGGATGGGATGGGATGGGCTCCGGCACGGATAGGCTCCTCCGAGCGGAGCAGAGCGGAGCCGTGTTGCGTTGAGCGGAACTTGGGGCGCAGCCTTCTGAACAACACCCCAGCGAAGTGGAGTCCCTCCCCCTCCAGCACGTGCCTGTCGCCACTTGTGTGCCGCGCGCCGCCGTCACGCCGCCGTCACGGCACCGTCACCCCTTCACTCTTCGTTGTTGTCATCGGTGCTCTATGAGGGTGGATTGAGATGGACAGCTGGACAGCCGCCACGCGCGACCACCGTCACCAGCTGCATTGTAACTGCACTGGAGGCAGGGGTAACTTTTGTCACCAACTCCATCTACTCGCCTCGGAATGAGTTATTCCCAACCCCCCTAACGAGTATTACTGCAGAAACGAGTTAGAGAAATTTAAGACATTTCGATTTTGGCACACTTTGACCTACGATGTCAATGGGACGCGTCAGCCATTCTTTTCGTGTTCCTCGCGGGGAAGGATTACTCTCCAGTTGAATGGGGAGGGAAGACCACGTGCTTCGATCCGTTAAGTTTAAATTGAGTTGGGCCTCGACTAATCACATTGACGAGTCGAAAGTTTCGATGGATTGAGGGGGAGCAACAACATGACAGGGAAATGCGGCGAAAGAGCACAGACCAGCGGGAGTGGGTACAAGACAACCCAACACAACGGGCGGCGTAGGCTTTTCTCTGCGACTTCAGATTCGTATGTGTCTGAATATAGAACCGATCGTCCGTGGCAGGGGGAGGGGGGGGGGCTTGAATGTATACGCACTATCCGACTTCTGACCCGACAACGCGATTCCCACGACGCGGAAATTTGCACTTTGACAACTTGCCAAACATACGCTGAGAAAGGCGAAAGTATTTTGGCATCATTTGGATTTTCTAAATTCTGTCTCCTGACATCTTCTCAACTGTGTACTGCTCGTGTACTGCTGCGAATACCACAATGCACACATTTATGGAACCTCGGTTTTTCAGGGAGTCGGTTGAACCCCACCCGAAAAATTGTACATGAACACTTTCCTGTGGGCGCGCGACGGGACGGGTCGTGCCCCTGCTAGCCGACCTTGGACGCCCCCCCCCCCCTTACCCGGGCCTAGGCCGAGCTAGCCGAGCTGAGCCCCGCTCGGGCCTCAATAGCGCGCGACATGAATTATTGAGATCCTGATGGGTCAGACTTACTTTCGGAGCAATAGACACCGCTCGCCGCCCGCCGACCCGCGCCACACCCCGCCCCTAGACGGAACCCCTTCGGAGCCAGCCGCGGGTGTGGGGGCCCGAGGCGGGGCCCGCGCGGGACCGGCGGGCTTGTCGGGCTATGGGCCTAGCCGAGGTTAACGTCATCCGGAAAACGGGTTCGGGGTTCGAAATGACGGGCTCCTAGTCGCTACGGGGCTCCGTCTTGAGCCCACGAGAAAGTGCTTCCTCCAGTAAGATTGGGATAGGACCGACGATTAGGCAATAAAGCCGCGCGGAGTCCCGAGCGAGCCCTCCAGCCCCACATTAAACCTTCCAGTTGAACAATAAGCTACGATACATAGGGCCTCACCCGGGCTGCAGCCAGCATGCAGCCAGAAAGCGAAGAGGGAAGACCACGAATGAGAGGCCATCAAGGGGTATGGTTCCGATCATTGAACCCACATCCACATTTCCAATAAAATAAAGCAAATTACAGAACATCCACCCATCCCCCCAAAAGGAGACCCCATGAAATGGGTTGTGACGAGAGGTTATGCACCCCGATTATCTTGCCCCTCAAAGTCGTGAAAACCGCGCGAATTCAAACCGCGCGCTGCTCGCGGCCCGGTATGGTCCAGGATCAGCCCGCGGAGAGCCATCTCTGCTCGGGTCCGGGGCGCGGGCCGGCTGCTGCGACGGGTCGCGCCCACCGCGCCTTCCGTCTGCTTTCACCCAGCTCCGCCACTCCGCCACTCACCCTTCTATGCCCCCGAATATCATGTCAGCCATGGTCCTGCTCCGCTCGGTGTGCTGTCCGGCCGCCCACGCGCGCTTCACTGGCCGCCCTCGCGGAAGGGACTGGTTGGGCTTCTGCGGAGCGCTGAATTATCAAGCGGCCACTATCAAACAGCTGTTGTTTTGACACTTGCATGTCGGGCAGACGCCGTGAGCCAGGCTGGCCAACGCACCGGCTCGTCCGCACGGAGCAGGAGACGGGCGCGATGCACAACCAGCCCGTCAACATGTGATGAAGACAAGTTGCGCTCTATTTCATTTCGAGCAGTGCGACGGTATCTTGAAAACGGGACGGCTACCGCAGTGATGATCTGATGGTAGAATTTGTTTGTAAGGTTTCCCAGCCGGCGCATCTCCAGCCGTAGTCTGCTAGATGTTTTAAAGACGGCCTAAAGCATTTGTTTTGATTCCGATTCACTCTTCGATCCGTCTTCTGCTTCTTTCCTCCGAACATTTGTTGATTCGTGTGAAAAATATCTCATTTCATGTCGTATTTCAGGCATAGATAAGTCGCTATTGTATTTTAATGGTGTTTAATCTTCAATGTGAAGTCTCACCTCAATTTTCACCTTTTAGATGTTTAATTTGTAACTATGTCTTCTTCTTGATCTTTAGGCTACAGGAAGTTTTACATTAAATTATGTATATCAAAATGAAACATTTAGGATTAAGTAAATTAAGCTCTAGATATATTTTCATCGCAATAATATTGGTTGCTATTATGTTATTACTTTATGGTGTATCGAATGGAAACGAGCATGCAAAGTTTGATTCATTGAAAGATAAATCCCCTAAAACTGCCAAAGTACACCTCTCCTCTGATGAAAATGAGTACATGACTCAAAGTCATGCTCATTTATTACAGCAACGACAGAAAGAACAATTACTTCTTGCCGGTATTAATATGAAGAAAGATCCATCCTCATCTCAAATGTCTCGTGACACAGAGCACACTTTAGGTATGAAGATGTGAATTGATTGCTAGACAGTAGAAAGAATAATTTTAGCTTGATTTCATTCTATGTTTTGTTTTTTTCCAGAATATCGGGTTGTACACTTGGATTTAAAGGGAGCCCCTCCAAAAGTTTCCTATTTTGAAGATTTATTTCCGTTTCTGAAAATGCATGGAGCTAATGGTATCTTGATGGAGTATGAAGACATGTTTCCTTACTCAGGACCTTACTTTGAAAATGTGCCAGCCTACAATGCATATTCTGGTTCTGATATCAAAGAGATTTTGCGTTTAGCTGAAGTTAACAAAATAGAAGTGATTCCTCTCATACAAACTTTTGGTCATCTTGAATTTTTCTTAAAATTGAAGCAAAATATGGATATGAGAGAAGTTTTCTCAAATGCAGGAGTAAGTACCACAACGTTTGTCATTTTCAGTGCATTTTACCTTTACTCACTGTGTAACTTCTAATCTTAATAATTATTTACAGTCTTTATGTCCAACTCACAATAAAACTATGAAAGTACTACATGCTATGATTGACCAAGTAGTGTCTATGCATCCAAATTTAAAATATCTTCACATTGGATCAGATGAGGTATATGAAGTGGGAAGATGTGCACGATGCATTGAAAAACTGAAGCAAGAGAATTGGAAAAAAGGTCAACTCTTCCTCCACCACGTAAAGAGTGTGGCAAAGTAAGATAGTTAGGTCTAATTTCTGTCATTATAATGCATTTGAATTAGATAAGTCCTTAAAACGTACAATTTTGCAGATATGTTCGCACAACCCATCCTCATGTAATGCCGCTGGTGTGGGAAGATATGTTCCGCACTCTTACATTTGCAGAACTGCTTGAATCTGGCATTTCTCAGTGGGTAGAACCTGTGGTATGGAATTACCATCCAAACATTCTTATGCATATAACTTCTGACGTGTGGAGTATGTATGCCCATAATTTCAAGAATATATGGATTGCATCTGCTTTCAAGGGTGCCACAGGACCAGACCAACTTTTGACCAACTTTAGTATGTATCAAAATAAAAGTATGTGTACTCACAACCTAATATTTGTGGTGATACTAATAACTCATTATGCCCTCAGCATATCATTTGGAAAACCACATGTCTTGGATGGCTATTGTGGAGCAGTTCAAACATCAAGTCAATTTTAGGGGTATCATGATGACAGGCTGGCAGCGTTATGACCACTTTTCAGTTCTGTGTGAACTCTTACCAGTTGGTATTCCATCACTCATTTTGAATCTGTACTATATCCAAAATTATAAGCATAGTAAGGCCAGAATTCCATCTTAACTATCGCATATTTATTATTAAACTCCAGAATTTGTTAGGATGTAACAATGATATACAATCATTTTTCCATTTCAGCTTATTTTATTGACACACCATCAAAACTGTTAGACCTGCTTCAATGTGACATCACTTTTCCACCTCACGGTGGTGGCTCTCAATGTGCCTTTCCAGGAGGACGGGTCTTCAACATAGCTCAAAGATTTTACCTTCTGAAAAATGAACTTGACAGTCCTGTAACGGGAATAAACAATCCTGTTGCACGAGGCTGGTTGAGTCAAGAAAATATAAAATGGAATTTCTCAAACCCTCATCAGGTAGGGAGCCCTCCACCTGACCAATCTCATCTTCAACCCATATTTACATTGGTTATTTAAATTACAAAATAATTCAGTTACAATAATTTTATTTTTGAATATTCTTCAGGTTGAGGCAGCCACTGGTGATATTGACCGCTTTAAAATGGAACTAATGAATTTGAAAACTGAATTCCGACATGTTGGTGGTGAAATCTATGATAAATACACTACTGGGGAATGGATTGAGACAAACATACAACCGTATGAAAAACGTTTGGACGACCTATGGACAGCTCGAGATAAATTGCTTATGAGAGTGGATTGGCCAAGACGACCGCTCAATATGCACCCTGATCTATGAGGATATGAAAGAATACTCATTTTCTGTTTTGAAACATCAGAACGCTAATTATTGACTTCCAAGTTTTCCTTATTTTGCACAACTAAATCAGTACCTTGGCTTTATCAGCTTAAGGATCTTAACATCTTAACATCTTAACATGTTAACATATTGCCATAGTGCTAAATATAATGAAAATGCATCCGTTAATATGTTAATATGTTAAGATGTTAAGATCCTTAAGCTGATAAAGCCCTTCTAATTGGCAATCAACGTAAAGATTCTTTGAGTAAAACCTAACAAAAACCAGATAAAACAAGTTTTTTTGTTTGTTTGTTTTTAGTTATATAGTGGTTTTACTTTATTTTATCTGCACAAGTAATCTCCAATTTTATGAAAAGCTGCATGTCTTCAGCCTTTTAAATTGAAAGTTTGATCTTTATGTGTGTCCATCCTCTTTCTTGATCGTGTTTAGGTCTCTCCATGAAAAGTGAAAAATGAGACTGAAATGTAAGTGTAAGTTTCGACGAGTAAATTTGTTCATCTTCAATTTTCCTGATTCATTTCCATTTTCACTGTCTCATGTTTCGCTCTTTTGTTTCGTTAATGTGATATTACTTTAGTCATTTCCATTGTAATAGAAAGTTTTACACAAACTTTTGTAAGAGAATATGGTAGATTAAATTTGAGATGTGTAAAAGTAATTTTTCCTAGGTATCTGAAAAATTGAAATTGTTTCATAAAATAATTGTACATATTTCTTAAATGGAACAAATAAACATGTTTATACCTCTTCGCTTGTTGGGTAGTTTAGGCCCAGGTTTGGGCATGACATCTTTCTTTCTTTAGATGCCTTTCTCCCAAGCCCAAGCCCCAAGTAAGTCCTCCTACAACGTTTGAATTAGTACCACCTACCAAGGATCGACAATAAGGAGCAGCCACTTCCGGTGCGTGCAAACCGAATGTGAATGTTGGTTCCATAAAGGGGGAGGGGGGAGGTGAAGAGCTGACGACAACACAACATACGACTGTGACAAAAGGAAAAGGATGCGTTTGTAAACATATTGGCACACTGGTAGGGCTTACGTGGTTCAATTGCAGCATTACACGTGTCCTAGTGAGTAAACTATCTAGCAGGTTGACAGGGGAAAGCAAACAAATTGATCCTATTCGGTTTCCTTGCTACATGTTCGGAAACTCCGCAACAGCGTTAACTCAAGGTTAGGTTGTTCCATAATGGAATGAATATAACAGCTCTCTATTTTTATTTAAAATTGAAACATCCTAAATATATTCTTTAGACAGAAAATTAGGCACCCCTGAATACTACTAGTTATTATCATTTTTTATTTTGACTCCAACATTTCGTGTTTTGGCTAAATCATGTGATTTTATTTTATTTTACTCTACATAGGCCATGAAGTTCTCAGCAATTTTTATTTTTACAATAACATGGACACTAAATGGAGTTGTGGCTCCACCTGTGACCTCAAGCACCACCAAAAGTCCTAATGACATTAACAGTGCAGATCATGAAGCTCAGGTATGGTAATTGATTAAACTTCACCCCAAAATTTGTTCACTTGATTCTTTTTTTTTTTTTTTGCATATATGACATATTTCAATGTGATTTTGTTATTTTGTGTCTGCATCGTTTAGGATGATTTCAATGTGGAATATGACAGATATTTGAAGGAAGTTGTGCAAGCTCTAGAAAGTGATCCTCAATTCCGAGAAAAGTTACAAAAAGCTGAAGATGCTGATATAAGGGTAATAACAAAAATAAATATTTGCAACACAAACACACTTTGACTGTTGAGACAAGAAACAAAGTGAATTGGCAACTTTTATTTCAGTCTGGAAAAATAGCTCATGAACTGGAATATGTGAGCCATGCAGTCCGGTCCCGTCTTGATGAAGTGAAAAGAACTGAAATGGAACGACTCAGAAAGTATGCTCGGAAAGCGTATGAGCTGCAGCATGGCATGGACACAGAGCACCTAGGAATTCAGAGTGTTCCAGACCCAGAACATATAGATGATGGCAATCCTGACACATTTGAAATAGAGGACTTGAGAAGACTCATAGCTAAGGTAGGTCTCTCTATACAAATTAAGGGAAATTCTTATTTGCTGTGATTTGATTGCTTCAATGCCATTGAACTGTTTTCCAGACAACGAAGGACCTAGCAGAAGCTGATAAGAAGAGACGTGAAGAATTTAAGGAATATGAGATGCAGAAAGAATTTGAAAAGCATGAAAAGGTCAAGAACATGACTGAAGAGGAGAAGAAAAAGTTTGAGGCACAAGAGCATGATAAGGAAGAGAAGCATAAAAAACATGATCCTGTAATGTTTGGGGATTTTTTCCTTCTTAATGCTTTGGAGCTGTTAAAAATTGTCTTTATTAATTGATTGTAATCTTATGTTTTAGTTGCATCATCCTATAAGCAAGCCGCAGCTTGAAGAAGTATGGGAGAAAAGTGATCATATGGAAAACCAAGAATTTGATCCCAAAACTTTCTTTTATTTGCATGGTAAGGTGGTTTTCATCTAAATTTCTAGATGCCATGACAAGATTAGATGAAAACATGGAATTAACATTCTAGCAGGTAGTTAGTAGATAGAGAATAATTTTACCTTTCATTATCCTTCTAGATTTGGATGGAAATGGAGTATGGGATTTTGATGAAGTGAAAGCACTATTCTTAAAAGAATTAGACAAAATGTACCAAGCTGGAGCTCCTGAGGATGATATGAGGGAGAGAGTTGAAGAAATGGAACGAATGAGAGAACATGTTTTCCAGGAGGCAGATGTTAATAGAGATGGCCTCATCAGTTATGAAGAGTTCCTTGCTCAGACACAAAAGAAGGATTTCAATAGTGATCCAGGATGGGAAACTTTGGACCAGCAACAAGCATATACCCCTGAAGAGTACCATAAATTTGAGATGCAGAGGCAACATGAAATTGAAGCTATGATTGCTGATGGCAGGGTACAATCTTTATTACAATCTATCAAACTAATTATAATAATAAAACTAGAGCAATTTAACCACTTAAAATATTTTTTACTGTATTACAGCTCCCTCAATATCACGGACAAAATATGCAGTATGGTGGACACCCTCAACAGCAGTTCCAAGGTCATCCCCAACAGCAGTTCCAGGGTCACCCACAACAGGGACACGCTCAACAGCAGTTCCAGGGTCATCCACAACAGGGTCACCCTCAGCAATTCCAAGCACACCCGCAGCAAGGACAGCCCCAACAGTTCCAAGCCCACCCTCAGCAAGGACAGCCGCAACAGTTCCAAGCCCACCCGCAGCAAGGACAGCCCCAACAGTTCCAAGCCCACCCACAGCAAGGACAGCCCCAGCAGTTCCAAGCCCCAGCCCCAACAGTTCCAAGCCCACCCACAGCAAGGACAGCCCCAACAGTTCCAAGCCCACCCACAGCAAGGTCATCCACAACAATTCCAAGCTCCCCCTCCTCCTCAGCAGTACCAAGGTCAACCTTATCAGGGTCAGCAACATCAGTTCCAGCCTCCCGCGCAGCCACTTCACAACCAGCCTTCACCAGCAGGCTCTGCTAATAGTCATATCGCTTCTCAGCAAGCAGCAGCAAGTCATCAATCAGCACAACCCAATCAGCAAGTACCACAACCACCTCAGGCAGCAGCACAACCTAGTGTCAATAGTAACAACGGTCCTGAACAGCCAAGTCAAGTAGTCAAACAGGTCTAATTTTCAAACATTTTTTAGACAATCTTATTTTTGTGATAACCAAATTACGATTTCTCTCTGGCCTATCAAAACAATCTTGTTGCCACATTTTATCATCACATCTATTTTAGTTTATCAGTTTTGCAGGCTGAAGAAATTTATTTAGGGAGTATGAAAGGAGACTTCCTCTTGTCCTGTTTCATTAAAGTAGTATACTTATATGAGAGGATTTTGTTTGACTGTACATGGTAGTGCTCTCTAGACTGATTTTTAAGAAAACGGTTCATATTAAGTTTTGCGTTTAATCTATTTTCTTGTTTAGCAAGTAAAAATGTACAAAACTAACCCAACCATTGCTTGAAGCATATAATTGGGTTTGTTGAACGGTTACCATGTACAAAGTGGATTTAATTTACCACTGTTTTAGACCATTTTGTTTTTCTTTGTGTGTTAAAGTTGTGAAATGCATTTAACTTGCCAGCTCAGTATTTCCAGTTCCCTAATAATCACAATCTGTCCATCAAGATTGTAGTTTCATTAATTGCACATTTATTTTCATAAATAATTAGAATTCATTTCATCCATTGTAAGATTTTTGATTGGAACTGGTTGCATAGATATTCTAAATTGCTGGAAACCCTGGATGTGCCAAACATTTTTTCAATATGTATGATGTGCTGTGTTAAAATAAATGATTCTATCCTGCACTTTAATTTTTTCCTGATCTCGGTCTAGAGCTTAAGCAGGACATGGATTTCATGTAAAAAGTACTACATCCTCATGTTTTGGAAGCAATGTATTCAAACATAACAACAACATGTAATCCACATGATAGGAAGATGTACATCATTCAACAACAATTCAATGCACACAGTTGACTTCCTGTGGTGGCTTTAAGAAATACAGTTCACAGCCTTTAACTGGATAACTGCATAAATTTGCGCCTACAATTTTACTCTACACCACATTAAAACAATGGGTTATACAGACAGCTAAATACCACCCACTATTAATGGTTATAGACCAACATGAATGGTTGGTAAGGGACTAGATTTGGAGTAGTTCAAACCCAGTATGACGAAAGAATTGTTTGGATGATCTGGTCTCTGAAGTTTTGCACGATTGTAATGATCACAATTACAATAGATTGATCTATCTACTTGATGCATCAGCCTTAAATAATTACCTGCTAACATCCAGGGTTGAAACACTAAAAACTGCCAAGTGGCCTTCCATTAGCAGCATCAAGATTTATTAACACGATGAGCTAAAAATAAAAAGAAGGCAATTATTTATCGGTGCACTGCAATTTTTTGAGCTTTTGAGTAAAAAAAGATAGGTGATCCAAGTGTCCTTACAAGTCTTCGGTATCCTCAAATTTTCACTATCCTTCACTGTAACTTCATGAGCATTATTGTGGAAAAGGTACTGCACCCACAACTGTTTGTCTTCACCAACACAAGGATCATAAAACCCAGGAAGCTGACTCTGAAATGAAATATTTGGATAAATAAAACAAACATTAAAATAGAACTAAATAATGCACTGTATAAAATAGAAAAATTGTTTGTTCTGCTGTGAGAAAAATCAGATTCCCCAACAAATTATCACAACTCTTTGTATTCTTATACAACATACATACAACTAGAGATGAAAAGAACATACCTTAGAGGGTTCATGCAAAATAAGTTTGGAATCTTTCACAAGACACTGCATTGGTACAGTTACGTCAATAACTTCAGATTGGTCCAAACTATCAGCTCTATCACCGCTAGCAATAATTCTTCCATACTTTGCCTCCACAATGACCAACCCTCTTCTTCCTTCTTCTTCCAAACGAATCCTTTCAAACTGAGCCCGCATCAGATTTACAGCTGCCTCTGCTTCTTTTTGTTTTTGCTCCATTCTGTAATTAAATTTCCACATAGTTCCTTTCCTCAAAATGCAAAATTTCAAATACAAACAAATGCAAGCAATTACATACTGTTTCTTTCTCAATCTGTATTGTTTCTCTTTGTCCTTTTCTGCCTGACTGCGTACCATAGGGTCCACTAGGAATTTTTTTATTACAATCCACCCAACTATAGGTAATATTGATGAATAAAACACAGGGGCAGGCAAAATATCTTCACACATTTGAACTGGTAAGAGGTAGGTCTGATCTGCTCTAGTGAGTTTCAAAGTGAGTGAAACACCATGAGGCACACCAACTGTGACTGTAGCACCTACAGTGCTGTGATCTGTAACTTGTTTTTGTGCACCATACGATATCCGAGCTCCTAAAGTGCCAAATCTGTGGAAATACATTTATATGCAAATTTTAACCAATTATTTCAACAGCATTCACATAACTGTAGCAGAATAGTAGTTGCTAACCTTGCTCCAAACTTAAGGCGAAATGAGTCATCAATGATGCTTCGGGAGTAGCTCATGTTAACATTGGTATCTGGGATGCCAAACTGAACTCCTAACGATAGAGAAAGTTTTTCACTCTGATATTGCAAAATAGTGCTCAAAGAGGAATAGCCACGTTCCCCTTTAAATACTAAAAGGCCTGTTAGATGATCATCCAGCTTCAAACCAACAGCTGTATATGTTAAATACCGCATAAATTAGAACAAGAATTGTTAATAATTAAATTATACTGTGCAAATTATAAATCTGTATGAAAGATAAAAGAGAGCACACAATACCTGAATGTAAGTTGAGTCCAATTCCTTCAGGATCCAAATGAAATCCTAGTCCATAGTCACAAAAGTAGTATTTTGCAAAGGTACTATACCCACTGAAGGAATACACTGGTCCATTACCAACATCAACTGTGAATGCTATGCGACCTCTATTTGACAAAAGCCTGCGAATACTAAGTGATAAGACACCAGAGCCTGGAAACAAAAGAAATCTTTGATAGTAAGAAAGCAAATTAAAAAATTATGGGCAATGTGTTATTTTTTAGTATAATATTCCTGGAATTACCTGTTCCATTTTGGGTGGAAAGTTCTCCTGATAGTGATAGAATATTACGGGTTGTGAGAGGTGCTTCAATATACTGATAAAAGGACATTCCAGAAACCTCTACTGTTCTCCACTTGTCTATTGTTCTGTCACCAAACATCTTCTCACTGCCAATGCAGAAGGTGAATTAAAATTTGGAGGATAATATTCATACTATTAAAAGGTTTTAAATTTAACATAAGGCTTGATTACTATATACTTAGCATACTCACTCAGTATCTACATCATAAGGGTAACTATCAAAGAGATCTGTAGCATTAACTCGTACTTTTACAAGTCCCTTTGGTCTGGTTTGGAGGTACATCTGCCGTTGTTCTTGTTCACTGCAATATGTTAAAAAAAATTAAGATCAATTTCTGTGATAAATAGAAAAGGGGGAATATGATGCAATATGAGTTAACTGATGAAATAATTAAGAAAATAAATTTGCAAGAATGAGCATCTTGTATAGATCCTTACCGTGCTATTCTCTCATACTCCTCTCTAATTTCTTGAGGTGTCATAGTTCTCTGAACAACAGCCCATTGGTCGCCATGTTTCATTTCCTCTAGGCTTTTCAGACCATAATTATCATATATCGCCCTCTGCACCTCATCAATAAGCACTACAAAATTAGAAAACAGGATACTTTATCACAACTTGGAAAGGCATAAATAATGTATTTATCACAGGCGAAAAAAGACAATTCACCTTCATATGCATATTTGGTTTTCTGAAATAATGTCTCGGCATCTTTCTTGCTTGCTGGGTCAGTGTGCTTGTCTGGATGATATATTCTACTAAAATGTCGATAGGCTTGTTGTATTTGCTCGGGTGTTGCCTGAAAATTTATACATTATCTTATGTAAGATTTATGTTTCAGACAACATTTGGAGACAGAAAAGCAGAAATTGTAGGTGTAAAGTTTGAGGTTAAGTTCTCATCTTGTTAAAGGATGACAGCTGTGACGACATTGGTAAACATGCCTCGTAAAAATTAAATTAAGAGGTAATTGACGAAGAAAATCATTTATGGCACACAAAAATTAAGTATGAATTCCATTACTGGAACATATGTGCTATATTTAGGTAACCGGGTACAACCTTCAAAGTGACAAATATCTAGACAACAGACATTCCAAAAACTTACATCTCTAGGAAGATTCAAAAAGGTGTAAAGATCGTCTTCATTAGCTTTGCGGTCAGGTTCAAGATTATTTTCGTCGGTCATGGTAAACAAAATATGACTTTTAAGCAAAGTCCACTTTTTCAAACCCGTTTCAGCGGTGTGATTCTTGTTGTTGTTGTTTTCCTGTGCCTTGTGGTAACATCAATCGCAGATCGCATTGGTACCAATGTGACAACGTTTACTGCGGCTGTAAACACACAGCTAAATGGCATAAAAATTCACTTTAATTTCTTCTTGTAATGCTTGTTCTTCGCAATGAAACACATTCAAACATCATTTATCGATTGAACCATTACCTTGACTTTTACAGAAATTTTCAGTCACCCAGTGATTTCATGGCCAAAAGCGCGTGACTGACCATCGAGTTTGTGTCAGCTGACTTTTCTGCTTGGATATCACACATCAAAATGTCTGGAAAGGATAGACTGGCAATTTTCCCCTCTCGGGGGTAAGTTTATTTCTAATTTAAAATCCTTCTTGCCTCCTAAAATACTATATTTGTTCTTGATCTGGTGTCCTATGGTCACTTTATAGAAATAAAGTCATGGTTTGTGTTTGTCCAGCCCTTTGTATGGTTGTTCTAGCTGGCACTATAATCTAACTGTTTTATAAGTTTCATCGCTTTTAAAGCCTGGAAACTGAATCGAAAGTACGTAAAATTTTAGAGGAAGAAAATTGTCACTGAAATTGAAGTAATTCTTTGATGTTTCCACGTGATCCTAACCTTATCAATTCTGCTGTCATTAGCTCTACATTTCTTGAGTCCTATGAATCTTCTATTCTTTGCCCCTTTCTGTTGTGGCAACCAATTTTCTGTACAGATTTATGGCGCATGATTTTTCTTACAATTTTCTTTTTGCACAATAGGGTGCTCGTCTTGTTTTTTCTTATTACAATAATCTGTGTTTTTAGGGCTCAGACGATGATGAAGTCTCGTCTGACAGGTGCACAGAAAGGACACAGTTTGCTAAAGAAGAAGGCTGATGCTCTACAAATGAGGTTCCGTCTCATTTTAAATAAAATTGTTGAAGTAAGTTTACCACATCTACAGTTTATTAACCAGTTCCATTTAATGGACTATTACTTACTCTTTCATAAACCTTTCAGACTAAGACTTTGATGGGGGAGGTGATGAAAGAAGCCGCTTTCTCTCTTGCCGAAGCTAAATTCACTACTGGTGATTTTAATCAAGTTGTTCTGCAGAATGTGCAGAAAGCTCAAATAAAAATCCGTTCAAAGAAGGACAATGTTGCTGGTATACTCTATATACATATTATGTCTGATACGTCTTGTATAGGTGTATTTGTATGAAATATTTTATCATGCCAACTGTCCCTTTAACTTGCAGGTGTCACTCTGCCTGTGTTTGAATGCTACCAGGATGGTACTGACTGCTATGAGCTGGCTGGTCTTGCTCGGGGTGGACAGCAGCTTGCCAAGCTAAAGAAGAACTACCAGGCAGCTGTCAAACTACTGGTTGAACTTGCTTCTCTTCAAACTTCTTTTGTTACTCTTGATGAAGTAATCAAAATCACAAATCGCCGTGTTAATGCCATTGAGCACGGTAAGCTTGAAGTCATTTTAGACCTTTGAATTATTTATAAATCTTCATGGTGTTATCTATTGTTTCTGTAAATGATTTTACAGTTATCATTCCTCGCATTGAGCGCACTCTGCAATACATTATCTCAGAGCTTGATGAGTTAGAGCGTGAAGAATTTTACAGGTCAGTTGTCATAAATATTCCTTTCTGATGTTAGATCAGGGTGTGTTATGTTTTTTTCAATTTGTTTTGTTTTGTTTTGGGCCAATTTATGCATTGCCCCTTTTTTTTTTTTTTTTTTTTGCCAGACTAAAGAAGATTCAGGACAAGAAGCGCATTGCTCGGAAAAAGGCTGAAGCCATCCTTGCGGATATGAAACTCAAGGGAGTTGATGTTCATGGAAATAACATGCTTGATGAAGGCGATGAAGATTTACTCTTCTAAGAGAGTATGGTGCCACATCAAATCAGTATTGGTTTTCACAAACTGGGTATTTAGTACCATCTTATCATTGCAGTGGTTTGTTCTTTGGTAGGAGTTTTGTTGGCAAAGTGTAACATTTGAGTATATAGATTGAACGCTTCAACCTTGTAAATTTCATCCAGTTTTGTTCAGAGTTCAAGTATGCTCTTTAATATCTTGTATATGTAAATTCATAGAAGATGTCTCATCTAAATGGAATTTAAAATTGTTATCTGTAAATATGTTGAATAAAGGATACTCACATCAGAGCTTAATTTCAAAAAAATTATCTCTTATGAGTTCTAGATTTTCATATTATGTTGCTTGTAAATAGAAAATTTAAATGTTTATTGGCAGTCATGGATATTCAAAATCAACTAGAAGTAGTCCGTATAATTTTGCCTGTAGAAGGTTCATTCAGCTAGAGTGAAATTTATTTGTACTTATAAGTTGAGACAATTACAGTTTGAATGTATTTGATTTGTCTCTGTTATTGCTTTGAAACTAATTTTTGTCAGGTTAGTTAATGGGAATCTGCCCTGTGGTATAATTCAAGAGTTTTTGACATTCCATTTTGTATACCATTCTATTAAATGTAGACCTATGAATGTTAACACAAAAACCCAATGCCTGTATTTTACAACAGCAAGCCTTAAATTGTTTGTGTCATGCCTACTTTTATGAACCACAGCTTATATAATGTTTATGTTGAAGGCTTTTTTGTGATTTATGCCATCTGTGCGTCATTTTTTGAGGATAAGAAAGCATTTTTGGCCTGAAACAGACTTTTGGTAATTTTTTATTATCTTTGGTTTTGGAATGGAATTAATCAGTTCTAAGGGTTTAAGTTTGATAAACCTGTGAGGGCCTGTATTCTAGATAATAATGTTTGTTGATATTTTAGTTTATCATTATAGTACCCCAAACTCTCCATGCCCTTGTAAGTGAGATCTGCTGTGTTAATAGGCGATGATCTTTTGTGTTTTTGAAACAAATCTAATTTGCATACAGCTTATCCCACCCATTCCTCCCATAAATGTGTGTAAGGAAATCATAATACTCTCTTTTAAGGGAATCAAAAAAGTCACACCGAGAGGTATATTCATTCAATGCAATAAAAGTGACTCCACATGTACTTCTTTTTTTTTCTATTGTCCGGACAACAAAATGAAATATATGTTTTAACTGATTTCATTATTTGTTCACTTACTCACTTCAACTGATTTGGCGCCGTTTTAAATTAACTCTTCTTTCTATGATTGTGAAAATGGTTAGTAAAAGGTAGCTCCAATACATACTGTGCTGGACGAGTCAACTACTTTACATATGCAGTAACTACATCATTCTGGGGGTCATTCCTAGACGACTCCTGAGTTACAGATTGCTCATTTGGAGTGGTCCCAATCCTGTACACACCGCTGAGGGTACGGTCGCGTCATGGGGACCGCGCAAGGCCGAGGTGTTAGACATCAGTGGCAACATTGATCTGACGCACCAAAAAACGCTTAGGCAACCTATGTGATGAAACCGAGGTATCTCTTCAAAATTCGACTCCGGGCGCCAAGCGCTCGCCACTAAGCCGCTGGCTGGCGCCAGAGGCTGGAGCCTCCTCACCACTCCTCACTCGGCCTCATTCCCGGCTCCGGTGGGTCACACCTCTTGTTAGCCATTCTCCCTACGTATTATTTAGCGCAGCTCTTTAACCATAATCTTTAAGCTCTTATGCGGCGCTTCGATTGGAAAAACGATCCTGCCGGCTTCGTCCTTGTACTCCTCGTAGGGGAGCTCGTGCACTGTCTGGAAGCCCATGCTGTCGGCCGCTCGCTGCGAGAAAAGCCCGGTCGCGTCCTCCTTCACGAGCTGCAAACACGGGAACGTCGGGAACACATTAGTCACGACAGTTCAGCCAGCTCGGTGCGGCCTACGGTGGCCTACCTGGAAGCCGGCCGCCTTTGCGGTCTCAATGGAGCGCTCCAAGAGTTGGCGCGCCAGGCCGCGGCCTCGGTAGCGGTTGTCCACGGATAGGATGCGGCACTCGAAGATGCGGTCCACGTGGTAGGCGTCGAACAAGTCCAGTCGCTTGTTGACGCTGTAAAGCAAGCCGAAGATGCGCCGAAACTTGGCGTCGTCCATGTCGGATAGCTTGGACTGCGCCTCGTCCAGGTCACCCGGCAATAGCACGCCGTTGAGCGCCACGCCCACGACCTGGTTGGTGGTCGTGTCCAGCACCATCTCGGACAGGCTGTCGCGCAGCGTGGCGCGGGCGTGCTCCTCCAGCTCGCGGTGCGGCTGCCCGCGCTCGCACAGCGCCACGGATCGGTTGAGCGGCTCGTCCGCGAAGAAGCTCCAGCGCAGGTGCGCGATCACGTCGTCGAAGCGGTCCTCAGGGATGGGGCCCGACAGGCGCAGCTCGGCGTCGACCACTGCATCCATCCTGCGAGACAGAACAGAGCGTGCCCGGTGTATAACGGAAGGGTAAACAGCAAAGAAGATTCCTTTGTTCAGCTGCGCAGTGGAGAACACCCCCCC